CCGTCCTCGGGCGGCCTCCGGGCCTCGAGAGCCGCTGGCCAGCGGGAGAGGTGTGGCCCGGGCGGGGGCAACCTCAGCCCAGGACCGGCGGCCCAGTGGGGCGCCCCGGCTGAGAACGACCTTCCCCTTAGGCTGCAGGGCCGCGTGCCCTCCCCACGGTTCTCGCGGCCTCTGCAGGCCGCTCGCCGGGCCGGGCCGGGCGGGCAGGCTGGTGCGAGGCCTCTGGCGCGCTGTGCAGCCGGGCGCAGTGGCCGCCACCCACCGCACGTCGGGCGACACTTAGTCTGGTCCTCTGTGCCCGAGCCTGTGTGCGACAGCGTGGGGCGCGCAGGGCAGACAGCGGCCGGAGAGGGCTTGGAGCAAGCAGCAGGCTCTGCCGCCACAGCCGTGGGACTCAGAGCGGGCCGTGGCCGCGCAGACCTCCAGTGGCCAAACTGCCAGTGGGCTGCGGCCACTGAAGATAGCTGCCCCGCTGTCGGGACGAGCCTCCCTCAGCTGGGCGGGGAAGTGGCGCCTGCCACGCCACAAAGAGTCGCCGCTCAGGAAATGACCGACGAGCCCCTGGCCGTCAGGGGCTGAGCCGCTGACACGGCGTCGCGGAAGCACGAGGCGGGGGAGGCACCGGCAGAGCCTAACCGCCCCGGAGCCTCAGCGCGATTCCGAGGCGCCCCTGGGCTCGATCGGAAGGGGGACGCTGGAGAAAACGGCGAAACCTCCCCAGAAAGGACCCTCGAGGCTGCTGGCTCCAGGCGGCGCCGCCCGCCGGGTGCAGGGGAGGGTTAGGGCGGCCCGGGGGCAGGCCGGGCCGAGGGCGGCCCGGGGAGCCTCGAGCGGTCAGGAGCTCATTGTCGCGGGAGAGCGACAGCTGAGGCCTTGACAGGTTCACGCGGTCACAGAGCCGCCCTCAGGCAGGTGCGGCGAGGCCGCGGGCGTCTGCTCAGGGCAGCAGTGCTGGGCCAGTGGCCACGGCTGCCCACGCGGCAGCTGCATTCTCGTCCCTGGGCGGCAGTGACGGCTGTGCGCGGACGTGATGTGACATAGACACCACCGACTTTCCCCACGGCCTGTCGGGGCGCGCCAGCTGTGCGTTTGAGTGTTTATTGAAGTGCAGCTCCTTGCACACAGTGGGAGATGCTCAGGAGGCCGCATGGCGGCCAGGGGCCTCGGCGGCCACTCAGCCTGGACTTGCTTCTGAAGGCGGCCAGCCCGGCGAGGGCCGGTCCACGCAGATGTATTTACTCTCCAGAGCCAGTGCAGGGTGGGTGGTGTCCGCCCTGCCCGTGGGGTTCTGGGAACCAGCTTTAGGGGGACGATGGCTTCGGTGGGGCCAGTCCAGCCCTTGCTGGACGTCAGTCTTCACTCCCATGCCCAGTCGTCCTGGCCTGCACCTGGCTGCAGGGGTACTGGTCCCTTCAGACCGCGGGGCTGCTCAGCGCGTGCTGTTTCTGGGCCCACTAGCTGCTTGTCTCGGAGCCCCCCGCCCGCCGAGTGCCGCCCCACGGCCTCCTTCACGCCCTTGTTGCGCAGGCTGTCGCTGAGCGGGTTGAGCATGGGGATGACCAGCGTGTAGAAGACCGAGACCACCTTGCCCCGCCCCTCGACCCCACGGCGCCGGGCTGCGCGTACATGACGAACACGGTGCCGTAGAAGAGGCAGACGGCCGCCACGTGCGAGCCGCAGGTGGAGAAGACCTGGTGCCTCGCGGCGCCCCAGTGCACGCAGGATGGTGCCCGCGATGTAGCCGCGGTGAAGCAGGGAGCTCCCCGAGTCCGCTGCTCAGATTCTGCGCCTCTCCCAGGCCCGCCGCCTGGGGGAGCCCGGTGCCGGGCGCAGGTCCCGCAGAGGCCGGCTCGCGCACGGGGTAGCTGTGGCGCCCTGACCCCCGCCGGACGACAGACGCCTACGCCGTGAGGGACGGGACAAGGCCCTCAGCCCCGCAGCAGCCTCACCGCGCCTGTGACTCGGGGCAGCCTTTGGTGCTGACCCCTGAGCCCGCCTCTGGGCGCCATCCCAGGCCGGGAGACAGCCGGAATACTTGGGTTCCCTTGGCCCCCGGGTTGGTGTTGGGGCCCTGCCTGGAAAACCCCCCTTGAGTGGGCGAGGTGGCGCCGCCGGCTCCTGGCCGGGCCCTTCCCGAGGTGAGCAGACCTGCCGGGCAAGCTGAGGCCGCAGGGCCTTGCTTCTGGCCAGGCCCGTCCCGGCGACAGGAGGCGGCCCGGTCGCCGCTCCCTCCTGGGCCCAGGAGGTTCCTGACGGCTGGGGCGCCGGCTCCGGTGGTCTCTGAACAGGCTGGCGGCGTCGGTCACGGGACCGGGCGTTTCTGTCCGTGTCCTACGGCCCGTAGGTGACCTTCCGGAGGCGCCAGTCGGGAGTGTGTGCGGACTGGCCGAACAGCCAGGATGTGCCGTCCAGTTCTGAGGGGAACGTGACGAGGCCAGACCTGGTCCCTCCCTTTTGCCACGACAAGCACAGTGAGGGGACTCGGGAAACATGACTTGGGGGCCCTCAGATTGCTCAAGAATGTCCCTGCCGATGGCCCTGTTTCCCTGTTGAAACAAATTGTTCTGACCAAACTTGGCTCAGATGGGTTGTGCCCTGGTGATCGGCCCTGCTTCACTTCCGCTTGCAGACTTGGCCGGTGCCCCGTACCTCCGGCAGGACCAGAGGGTGCCGCGCCCCGCAAAGTGACCCTGCGGGCGGCGTCCCTGTGGGCACTGCCTCCTATCGCCCCCAGGACCGCACATCCGCCCGACTTCCTCTCCTCACGCTGCGCCCCGAGACGCCTGCACGAGGGGCCGTTTCCGCCGGCCTCGGCGTGAGTCTCGCCCCGTCCGTGCGCACGGACGTCTCGGGCACCGCCGCCCCGAGGGCCCCGGCGCCCGTCTGCCCGCTGGGCGCCCTTGGTGGTCCTCTGCGGGTGCTGCAGCTCCAGGGACGTCGGGCCCGTCCGGACGCCGCCTGCTGCTGCCGCCCCGCCCCCCGAGACGGCGGCAGGGCCCGCCCGAGTCGGTGCCCCCGTGTGTGGAGCCAGGCCTCGAGCGGCCTGAGCCCGGGGTGGCAGGCCAGGGCGGGGTGGCCAGGCCGGAGCTGAGCTTGAGGAGACGCAGAGGGTCTTCTGGACACGTAACGGTGTAAACGTGGGCGTCGCTGTCTCCTGTCTCTGTCGTGCGCCTGGGAGGCCACGGTTCGGCTGGGGGTGACACTGCCGTTTGTCATAATGTCACGCCCTCTGTGAGACAAGGGGCCCGAGGGAGCCCCCGTCCAGTCACAGCTCGGTGCGCCCGAGGTCCGACTGGCCCCTTCCTGAGCGCGAGGCTGGCCATGTGTTAGGGCCCTGTCCAGCTGGGCGCTTCCCACTGACCGCAGCCCACTGAGAGAGTGTTTTCAATGAGAGGACTCAGCAATGCTGTTGAGGGTGGAATGAAACAGAGGTGGCCCTGTCTGGGCTGCCAGGCTGGCCACGGGGCCACGCAGCCAGGTGTCAGGTGGGGCTGGGGAGGGAGAGTGCACGTGGAAGTTACTAGAGGAGATTTGTGTCAAGCTGGTACAAGCTAACTGTCCTCTGCAGGAGTGTAGTTTCAGTGACAACACCTGGCTTAATCACGGTCTCTACATATCCGCACCTGTACACGTGCGCACGGCGGGGGGGGGGGGCGGGGGGCACAGGTGAGGGGAGAGTTGTGGACCAGCGAGGAGGCGAACACTACACAAGATGGCTTCGTCTTCGGGCTCAGTCAGAGCGGTGGACTCTGGGGAGAATGAGGGGGAGCAGCTGTGACCACCTCACCTGCTGCAGAGAAGGCCCCGGAAGCACCACACCATTCCCTGACACCAAACAGGTGAGTCCGAAGCGAGGAAGCCGCTCGGCGCAGCAGAAGCCTGTGCAGGAAGGGCGGCGCCACCACGTTCCCGGGTTCCCGGCCAGGCACCGGGCGAGAGAGAGCTGGAAGCCAGGGGGAAGGAGGAAGCCGACCGGTCTCTGACGCGGCCTGGCGCTATAACCAGGTGACCACGCGGTGACCTTCAGGTGCCGCAAGACCTCTGCGGTCTGGTGGCGACTGACAGGTAAACTCGCCGAAGAGACAGGACCAGAAACCGACCCCTTGAGGTTGTTGTATTCTATACAGTAGCAGCGCATTAAAAGAGAGACAGGCAAGCAGTCCCTTCTGTAGTGCATTCACAGAGTAACACAGTAAAGAATAAATGTGGCCAAGTGGACAAGAGACTTGTCTTCTGAAAACCTGAAAACTACCAGATGCAGTGGACAGAGCTTAAAGGGGACGTACAGCAACCGGAAGACCTCCCATGTTGTGGCAGAAAATGACACCCCAAGGGATCAAGACCGCAACCCCAGTGATAATTTTGTAGATACAGAAATGTGCCTCTCACAATTCACATGGAATCTCGGAGCACCCTACACCGCCAGACAGCCCTTAGAAGGGAGAGCAGAGTCGGAGGGCCCAGGCTCCTGGTTTTTAAACATGTTACGAAGCTACAGGGGTCAAAACAACATGGCAGTGGGATAAAGACAGGCTGCTTGACCAGTGGAATGGAAGAGGGAGTCTGCAAGTGACCTATTGGGTATGGTCAGGTGACTTTTGATAAGGAGCCCACTGGACAAATAGCCTCTTCAGGAAATGGCAGCTGGAACTACTGACTTGTAAAAGATTGATGTTGAATCCCTCTGGACATGTCCAAAATAAAATGAAAGCCAAAATCTAGGACCTCGGTCTATAAACCCTATGACAAGAGATTTAGGAGCTTTAGGATGTGTCAGTAACTTCTTAATAGGAGACCAGAGCACAGAGGGGCCAGTGAGAGGGTGTGAAGCGGAAAGCCTGTGTGTGACAGACTGAGCTGCCCCTAACAGGGGGGGAAGAGCTCCCAAGACTTAGATATTACATGGGGCTCATGTCTAAATCCATAAGGACCCTACAGAGGCCAAGGCCAGCCTCTGGCTGAAACGTGACAGGCCACTCCGCAGATGGTCCACATGTTGTGAGTGAAGGATAGAAGGAGCTGATGCTCCCGCATGCCTGAGAAGTCAGGTAAGACAAGATGGTGCCTATGTCCCTCAGCCAGCAGAAAGGCTGTGGGGCCTGTGGGACAGGGCCATTGGCACTGGGGGGAATGGGAACAGGGGTGAAGCTCTGGAAGAGTGTGGTGCTTCCCCAGGTTAGGAAGATTAATGTTACCTTATTCTGGCTCTAGTGTCCAGAGGATATCAGGAAGGACACTGCACTGAGTGGACAGTGAAGGCAGCCATGGCACGGCCACTCAGAACTGGATCCACGCAGCACTGCCGTGTGCTGCGGCGGGGCAGGGCTGATTCAGAAAAAGGCACAGTCCGTGGCAGGGACACCAGGAGATGTCACTGGTGGGGGGGGCCTGCACAGGACAGGCACCCCTGAAGCAGTTCCATGAGGGGCGTGGGTGGGGCGGCTGCGCCTGTGTCCTCTGCCTCAGTGCTCAGGACTGATGCCCCAGGGAGCGCACGAGGGTTGAGCACGCGCCGCCTGCACACAGGTGCTGAAGGCAGCTCGGACTCGGAGGCTGCGCGCACGGCCGTGAGCTGAGGCGTGCCGTGCCCGTCGCCCTTCTGCCTGGTTCAGTCCCGAAGCCCCTGGCCGGGCCTTGTGCACCTCCATCTGTAATGGGAGGGTACAGGCCAGGTGGTGCCACCATGGAGGGGCTGGACTCGGCCTGCCCGGTGCAGCCACAGGGCCTGCGCACTGGTGCCGGGAGTCGCCCCTAGAGTAATGTCCCCACTGCCCCGGCCCAAGATGTTCCTGGCCCAGCTCCTGGACTGGACTTCATGCTACATGCGAGTAGTGTGAATGTCCACGTGCTCGAGTCCCCAACTTGCTCCTTCTGCTCTGTTTAAATTCTCCAAGTTAAGCTGAATTCACAGCTGTGTAAATCAAAACTGTGACTTTTTCCAAATTTTGATCAATATGGTAGAGAATCTAAGAATATCCTCTAAAACTCGCTGGGATGAAGGAGGGAGCAAGAGAGGAAGGCGAGGGGGGGCGGGGAGAGGAGGGACAGGACAGGCCCAAAGCTGAAGGGGCGCAGGTGACACTCAGGAAGGCCGGGGGTAGCCAGCTGGGCCCACGCCCGGAGTGGCGGGGGGAGGCGTGTTCCCACTGCCCCGTGGACCCGGCCTGCGGCAGAAGACAGCACCTAAAGTGACGGGTGGGACAGGAGAGGAGGGTGACAAGGCCAGGCTGGGGGAGCCAGAGTGCCAGGACACACTGGGGTTGGGCTCTGGGGACTGGACACAGCTGGGTCATCCTCCCCGTGAAGGGCACCGCGCCTCTCTCTCTCGTTCTGCAGCTGGGGGCTGTACCCTGCATGGCAGACATGTGCACAGACTCACCCAAAGGTGCTTGTGGGCTAGATGGTCATCTTGAGGTCAGAGTTCCCAGAACTGGACATTGGGCCCTGGTGGGGGGAAGCCCAGGGGGACCAAGGGGAACCAGGCCGGGCCAGCGGGGCCTCTGGAGCAGGAGTGGGCTCTCGGCAGCCCGGCGGTCAGCACCACGGACAGGAAGCAGATGCAAGGGGCAGCGGGCAGGGGCTGAGCCGGCAGCGCCTCTGCGCACTGTCCCGGGCTGCGGGGCCGGGTCACATCTGGGGGTCAGGGCGGCACCTGCCGGCCCCCTT